TTTTAGATCTTTCCTGCTTTCTCTTGTGGGCATTTAGTGCTATAAATTTCCCTCTACACACTGCTTTAAATGTGTCCCAGAGATTCTGGTATGTTGTATCTTTGTTCTCATTGGTTTCAAAGAACATCTTTATTTCTGCCTTCATTTCGTTATGTACCCAGTAGTCATTCAGGCGGAGGTTGTTCAGTTTCCATGTAGTTGAGCGGTTTTGATTGAGTTTCTTAGTCCTGATTTCTAGTTTGATTGCACTGTGGTCTGAGAGACAGTTTGTTATAATTTCTGTTCTTGTATATTTGCTGAGGAGTGCTTTACTTCCAACTATGTGGTCAACTTTAGGATAAGTGTGTTGTGCTGACAAGAATGTGTATTCTGTTGATTTGGGGTGGAGAGTTCTGTAGATGTCTATTAGGTCCGCTTGGTACAGAGTTGAGTTCAATTCCTGGATATCCTTGTTAACTTTGTCTTGTTGATCTGTCTAATGTTGACAGTGGGGTGTTAAAGTCTCCCATTATTATTGTATGGGAGTCTAAGTCTCTTTGTCAGTCTCTAAGGACTTGCTTTATGAACCTGGGTTCTCCTGTATTAGGTGCATATATATTTAGGATAGTTAATTGATCCCTTTACCATTATGTAATGGCCTTCTTTGTCTCTTTTGATCTTTGATGGTTTAAAGTCTGTTTTATCAGAGAGTAGGATTGCAACCCCTGCTTTTTTTTTGTTTTCCATTTGCTTGGTAGATCTTCCTCCATCCCTTTATTTGAGCCTATGTGTGTCTCTACATGTGAGATGGGTCTCCTGAATACAGCAAACTGATGGGTCTTGACTCTTTATCCATTCCAGTCTTTGTGTTTTAATTGGAGCATTTAGTCCATTTACATTTAAGGTTAATATTGTTATGTGTGAACTTGATCCTGCCATTATGATATTAGCTGGTTATTTTGCTCGCTAGTTGATGCAATTTCTTCCTAGCATCAATGGACTTTACATTTTGACATGTTTTTGCAATGGCTGGTACTTGTTGTTCCTTTCCATGTTTAGTGCTTCCTTCAGGGTCTCTTGTAAGGCAGGCCTGGTGGTGACAAAATCTCTAAGCATTTGCTTGTCTGTAAAGGATTTTATTTCTCCTTCCCTTATGAAACTTAGTTTGGCTGGATATGAAATTCTGGGTTGATAATTCTTTTCTTTAAGAATGTTGAATATTGGCCCCCACTCTCTTCTGGCTTGGAGAGTTTCTGCCGAGAGATCTGCTGTTAGTCTGATGGGCTTCCCTTTGTGTGTAACCCGACCTTTCTCTCTGGCTGCCCTTAACATTTTTTCCTTCATTTCAACTTTGGTGAATCTGACAATTATGTGTCTTGGAGTTACTCTTCTCGAGGAGTATCTTTGTGGCATTCTCTGTATTTCCTGAATTTGAATATTGGCCTGCCTTACTAGGTTAGGGAAGTTCTCCTGGATGATATCCTGAAGAGTGTTTTCCAACTTGGTTCCATTTTCCCCCTCACTTTAAGCACACCAATCAGATGTAGATTTGGTCTTTTCACATAATCCTATACTTCTTGGAGGCTTTGTTCATTTCTTTTTACTTTTTTCTCCACACTTCTCTTCTTGCTTCATTTCATTCATTTGATCTTCAATCACTGATAATCTTTCTTCTAGTTGATCGAGTTGGTTACTGAAGCTTGTGGATTTGTCACGTAGTTCTCATGTTATGGTTTTCATCTCTATCAGTTCTTTTAAGGTCTTCTCTGCATTGATTATTCTAGTTATCCATTCATCCATTCTTTTTTCAAGGTTTTTAGTTTCTTTGTGCTGGTTACATAGTTCCTCCTTTAGCTCTGAGAAGTTTGATGGACTGAAGCCTTCTTCTCTCAACTTGTCAAAGTCATTCTCCATCCAGCTTTGTTCCATTGCTGGCGATGAGCTGCATTCCTTTGGAGGCGGAGATGCACTCTGATTTTTTTGAATATCCAGCTTTTCTGCACTGCTTTCTCCCCATCTTTATGGTTTTATCTGCCTTTGATCTTTGATGATGGTGATGTACTGATGGGGTTTTGGTGTGGGTGTCCTTTCTGTTTGTTAGTTTTCCTTCCAACAGTCAGGACTCGCAGCTGTAGGTCGGTTGGAGTTTGCTCGAGGTCCACTCCAGACCCTGTTTGCCTGGGTATCAGCAGCAGAGGCTGCAGAAAATAGAATATTGCTGAACAGCGAGTGTTGCTGTCTGATTCTTGCTCTGGAAGCTTCATCTCAGGGGTGTACCCCGTCATGTGATGTGTTGGTCTGCACTAGTTGGGGATGTCTCCCAGTTAGGCTACTTACAGGTCATGGACTCACTTGATCAGCAGGCAGTCTGTCCGTTCTCAGATCTCAGCCTTCATGGTGGGAGATCTACTGCTGTCTTCAAAGCTATCAGACAGGGGCATTTACATCTGCAGAGGTTTCTGCTGCTTTTTGTTTAGCTATGCCCTGTCCCAGAGGAGGACTCTACAGAGGCAGGCCGACCTCCTTGAGCTGCGGTGGGCTCCACCCAGCTTCATGGTGGCTTTGTTTACCCACTTAAGCCTCAGCAATGCTGGCACCCCTCCCCCAGCCTCCCTGCTGCCGCCTTGCAGTTAGATCTCATACTGCTGTGCTAGCAATGAGGGAGGCTCTGTGGGCAGGGGACCCTCCGGGCCAGGTGTGGTGTATAATCTCCTGGTGTGCTGTTTGCTAAGACCCTTGGTAAAGCGCAGTATTAGGGTGGGAGTTACCCAATTTTCCAGGTGTTGTGTGTCTCAGTTTCCCTTGGCTAGGAAAAGGGATTCCCTTCCCCCTTGCGCTTCCCAGGTGAGGCGATGCCTCGCCCTGCTTCAGCTCTCGCTGGTTGGGCTGCACCAGCTGACCAGCACCGATTGTCCGGCACTCCCCAGTGAGATGAACCCAGTACCTCAGTTGAAAATGCAGAATTCACCCGTCTTCTGTGTCACTCACAGCTGGAGGCTGGAGCTCTTCCTATTCAGCCATCTTGGGCCTATTTTTTTTTTTCAGACAGAGTCTTGCTCTGTTGCCCAGGCTGGAGTGCAGTGGTGCAATCTCGGCTCACTGCAAGCTCCGCCTCCCAGGTTTACACCATTGTCCTGCCTCAGCCTCCCGAGTAGCTGGGACTACAGGTGCCTACCACCAGGCCCATCTAATTTTTTGTATTTTTTAGTAGAGACAGGGTTTCACCGTGTTAGCCAGGATGGTCTCTATCTCCTGACCTCATGATCTGCCCGCCTCAGCCTCCCAGAGTGCTGGAATTACAGGTGTGAGCCACCGTGCCTGGCCAGATGTGAGAACAATTTCTATGAACAGTATCATTTGCTGTATGGCCATTTACAAAGGCAGTGCAATGCTCTCCTTTGTAATATTGCTATAACAGTAATAGAAATCAATAATAGGTTTGATAGAAAAGACTTCAAACGGAACCCTTACACACTGTTGGTAGGAATGTAAATTAGTACAGTCATTATAGAGAACATTGTGGAAGTTCCTCAAAAAGTTAAAAATAGAACTACCATATGATCAAGCAATCCCACACCTGGGTATATATCCAAAGGAAATGAAATCAGTGAGATATCTACATTCTCATATTCATTACAGCCAAGATATGGAATCAACCTAAGGGTCGTAGAGGAATGAAGAAAATGCAGTATATATTCACAATACTAATTCAGCCTTTAAAAAGGCTGAAATCCTGTCATTTGCAATATAGATGAACATTATGTTATGTGAAATAAGTCAAGCACAGAAAGACCAATACCACATGATCTCACTTATATGTGAAATCTTAAAAAGTTGAATTCACAGAAGTAGAGAATAGAATGGTGATTACCAGGGTATGGGGTAATGGGAGACTGGGGAAATGTTGGTCAAAGAATACAAAATTTCAGTTAGGAGAAATGAGTTCAAGAAATCTGTTATATAGCGTGGTGACTATAGTTAATAACAGTGTATTATTATATTCTTGAAAAATGCGTAAAAAAGATTCCAAATGTTCTCCCCACAAAAATATTTATAGGAGGTTATATATATATATATATATATATATATATATGCTCAATTTAGCCATCCCACAATGTATAAATATTTCAGAACATCGTGTACATGATAAATATGTATTTTGGTCAATTAATTTTTTCTGAAAACTAAAGAAACTGGACTTTGGGACTAGACACACTACATGTTTTTCTCCCTCCCAAAGTTAATATTTGTGTGGCTTTAAACAGTCATTTAACTGAAAAGAAAGAAGAAATTCTTTGTAAAATGGAGACAATAAATGGTGGTTATAAGGATGAGTAACAATGCACGTAAGGTACCTGATATGTGGGAGCTATTAAAAACAGTGATGTGTTGACAGTATATTAATTCAGGTAAGACAATATGAACTGTAATAGTGTTATGCTTCATATGAATGTCAGCAACATACAAAGAAACCTAATAAACGAGTTCTTATACTTTTGGTCAAAGTACATGTTAGTAGTTTTTAATGAAATATATGAATATGTGTTATTGAATTCTATTATTAGTCTTCTGTATCTTTCAGTGGAAAATCTCTAATGATAAAAATAACTGCTCAAAAATAAAATTATGTAATGTGTATGAATACGTATAATAACCATAATAAAAATATGTTATTTAAATGCTATTTTACTTGAATTTTAAAGACAGCATATGTTATGGCTTTTTTATATTATCCTAATTAACATTGATCTCTATGGCATCTTAATCCAAATTAAAATTATATATTATAAAATTCAGTATATGGAAAGGTTTACCAATGTGCCAATTAAGATGGGTTGGTTGATTTCCACTTGGATTCTAATAGCCTGACATTTCTAAAGCAGCTAAGATAAACAGTGAATATAGTTAAGGTTGTTTAATTAAATGTTTTGATCTTGCTAAACCTAAACTTCATCATTTAAAATAAGGAACAGAAAAATATATATTTTTTAATTGCAGATGTCTTTTCTCTCCTCTTTTAGGATTTTGCCTACCATTTTACAGTATTTGTCTTCTATTTTGGAGCCTTTTTATTGGAAGCAGCAGCCACATCCCTGCATGATTTGCACTGCAATACAACCATGACCCTGCAGCCGCTCCTGAGTGATAACCAGTATAACATAAACGTAGCAGCCACAGTAAGTATTCAATGAGTACCATTCACCAGCACTTCCGCTCTACTGTCAAGGCCTCCAGGAAACTCCTCAGGCAACATTCGTTTCCTTTAATGCTAGCCATTAGCATTAAATATATAATAGCTATTTATCTGTACAATAACCCTGTAAGCAAAGTGCCATGATCACCCCCAGTATTGTGGGTGATTAAACTGTAGCACAATGAGGTTGATGTTCATGTAAGATCATAGCGAACCATTAGAACTGCTTGGCTTTGCACAGCAATGTCTACTTTGCAAAAAGAATTGTGTTTTTTGCTTCTGATAACTTTCAGAGATGGTAAAGGAGATCTCCCAGTTTTGTTCTTTAGTATTCGATAGTTGCTTGCAATTTATTTTTATTCAATGAATAGTTACTGTGGGCCTACCATTTATCAAGTAATTTTGCTGGGTGTTGAGGACAGGGTGAGTAAGGCAAATAGCTAGCCATTGTAGTAGATGATAGGCAGATGAAATACATTCCTTGGGGTATTTATTAAATTTTTAAAATCATCTAATTCATATACTGGAGTTAATTTGTCATTTTGTATAGATAATTTGAAGAAATAATATATTTTTTGTTGTTAGAGATCATTTTTAAGATGTCAGAAGTCCAAATTATTTTCTAAAATATTGTGATATTTAATATAAGTATATGGCAAATTAGTGACCCTAATGTTTTATTATGTTCCCCAGGTAGCCTATAAATAACCCAGTACTCATATAGTCATTGAAATCTGTCTGGAGCAGCACTGTCTAGTAGAACTTTCTACAGTGACAGGAATATTTCATGTAAGTGCTGTCCAAAATGGTGACCACTAGCCTCATGTGGCTGTTGAGCAATTGAAAATTAACTAGGCTGAGGAGCCATAGCTCATGCCTATAATCCCAGCACATCGGTAGGCCGAGGTGGGAGGACTGCTTGAGGCCAGGAGTCTGAGACCAGCCTGGTCAACATAGCAAAACCCTGTCTCTGAAAAAGGAAAAACAAAAAACAAACCAGAATAAAGAATTGGCCAGGCCTGGTGGCTTGTGTCTGTAGTGCTACCTACCCAGGAGCTCAGGAGCCCAGGAGGTGGAGGTTGCAGTGAGCAGAGACCACACCACTGTACTTCAGTCTGAGTGACAGACCGAGACTCTGTCTGGTGGGGGGAGAGAAAGAGTGAGAAAGATAACTAGTATGACTAAGGAACTGAATTTTTAGGGTTAATTTTAATAAATTTAATCACATGTGCCTAGTGGCTATCATGTTAGACAATACATGTCTAGAGTTTGAGTTTTGAGGGGTAAAAGACAAATGGTTTCAAGACTATTATAAGTTTCCCAAGTCTCTGGTAGGATTTGTCAAAATGTATTGAGTGCCTGTGAAGAATTAGGCTGAAGGTGGGATTACAACAAAAAGGAGTCATGGTTTTAGCTTTGAAAGGTTTATAGTATAGATTAGTGACTTTAACACTTGCTTATAAAAGAAATAAAAGTTTCATTTAATGAATTCTTACCTAAAACCCCAATAAATCTAGAATAAAAGTTTAGGTGCTGTAGTTGAAGTGGAAGAAGAGGGCCTTGAATGATGTTCATTCTCTTTTCATAAAGCTGCCTCTACCCACCATATCATCCCTGAGGATCATAGAATCCTTGTGATCCAAAAATCACATTGGAAAACCCTTGGTTTTAGCAGTTTTACAAAGCAAAGTTCAGGAACTTGACTTTTTTCCTTGCTATTAGTCATCAATTCCCATTGTATTTGCCTTTATATGTTTCTTACTTCTAGTCCCTTCTTTTTAATGGTACAGGCTAGTTTCTCATATCTTGGATCATTAAAGTATCCCCACATCTATTGATAGTCACCCTAGAACCTACTTTCACAAGAATAGTAGCTGCTGAAATACTTGATGGTTGTCTGAGGTCCTTCATTTCTCACCTTTGTCCTAAGGGCCTAGTTTTCCGTGTTCTCCATCATGTAATTCTTTTCTGGCTGCTTCTCTTTTGTGACTTTGTCCCTGTTGTCCTTCCCTTTCTAAGTAAAGCTGTCTCAGTAAACCTCTACATGCTTCGAGTTCAGCATTACATCCCGTTTCATCCATGTGCTCACTCCAAAGTAAATCTCTAGTTTGAGTTTTATTCTAACTAAAATGTATCAGCCATCCATTTGGGACATTAGATAGGAAAATTCCTTTTCCATAATAATAGATATCAAGCGCTATTGCTCTCATTCAGAAAACAATGTCTAGATTAGAAATGTATCAGAGAAACAATCAGCAGAAGGGTGGAAAGAAGAGCAGAATAGTAATTAAAACTGTGAAAATGGTCTATAGGTGAATCTAGTATTCCTTCCCAGAGCTAGCTTCCTAGTTAAGAATCCCTGTGCTAAACCATAACATTTATCATGTTGAACTGCTTTTTCTTTGTCTTTTAGTCTTCTATGGGTCATAAGCCCCCAAAAGGGGGAGGATGCTATCTACTGTTTGTATGTACGAAGTGCAGTGATATACACACAGTTGGTGCTAAAGAGATTCTCGGGACAGTAATTCACAGTAGAGTGTAGATTTGTGCATAGGACTGTCTCCTATACAAGAGCAAGCCAACCTGACAATTCATTTCCACTTGTCTTAGTTGAGTTTTAAAGTTACCTTCCATCATCACAGAAATTATTTGATGAATCCTCAGGTTCTGATAGTTGCTGGCTTCCTTGGCTGTGAAGCCACTACATGAATAGAACTTCATGCTGAATTTTTAAATACAGTGCCTGGGGATTCACAAATACTTAATAAGTGAGCCCAGAATGTGAACAAATTGAACAAATGTTCAATGTAAAGTCGTCCACAAATGAGAAAATTATTAGGGGCTAAAATGTTTAAAGGAAGTGGGGGGTAATTGTATGAGGGAATAAATAAGTTGTACAAATCATCAAATAAATCAATGTAAAATATTTTTGTAAGTGTTGAAGTGTTTTTAGGTAGATTGGTCAATCTTCATATGTTTGTTCTTGAGGCCACTGCTTTTAAGTCGGTGTTGTAAATCTGATGTGAATTTTTGTTTCTTTTTTCTTAGATTTTTGCCTTTATGACGACAGCTTGTTATGGTTGCAGTTTGGGTCTGGCTTTACGAAGATGGCGACCGTAACACTCCTTAGAAACTGGCAGTCGTGTGTTAGTTTCATTTGTCTACTTTATATGTCTGATCAATTTGGATACCATTTTGTCCAGATGCAAAAACATTCCAAAAGTAATTTGTTTAGTAGAGAGAGAGACTATCAAAGCTCAAATTTTGGTTTATTTCATGGATGGAATGTTAATTTTATTATGATATTAAAGAAATGGCCTTTTATTTTACATCTCTCCCCTCCTTCCCTTCCTGAAAGTTTCCTTTTATGTTCATAAAATACAAATATATTATTCATAAAAAATTAGTATCCCTTTTGTTTGGTTGCTGAGTCACCTAATTGGTAACTACAACTCCCTAAAAAAACTCATTTCAAATAGGCTTCGCACTGAACTCTATAATTTAGTGTAAACCAGGAATTGGCACACTTTTTAAAAAATGGGCCAGAAGGTAAATATTTATGCTTCATGAGCCATACAGTCTGTCACAACTATAGCATGAAAGCAGCTGTACACAATACAGAAATGAATGAGTGTGGTTATGTTCTAATAAAACTTTATTTATAAAAACAAGGGGAGGCTGGGTTTAACCTGTGGGCCATAGTTTGTCGACCACTGGTGTAAAACCTTAGTTATATATGTTCTGCATTTTCTTGAACTGATCATGAAAACCTATAAACCTAATAGACAAGCCACATAATATTTAGCTTCATTATGCAATAATCACATTGCCTTTGTGTTAATAGTCACATACTTACCTTTGGAGGAATGTATGGTTTCTCAGACTATCTCAGGCAGAGTCCTGGATGTAGGCAAAAGTAATTTATGAAGTAAACTTTAGTCGCTTAATCAAACTAATGATAGTCTAACAACTGAGCAAGATCCTCATCTGAGAGTGCTTAAAATGGGATCCCCAGAGACCATTAACCACTACTGGAACTGGTATCTAGCTACTTATGTCTTACTTTGAGTTTATGCTTCAGTATACAGTTGTTTGCCCTGTGCATGAACATACCCATATTTGTGTGTGGATATGTGAAGCTTTTCCAAATAGAGCTCTCAGAAGAATTAAGTTTTTACTTCTAATTATTTTACATTACTTTGAGTTAAATTTGAATAAAGTTGTAGATTCTTGTTTTTGCATTAGCCCAGACATCTATATTGTTTTTGCACTGGTGACAGACAAAATCAGTTTTAAAATCATAGCCAGCACAAAAACTATTTCTGGCTAAATAGCACAGAAAAGTATTTTAACCTACCTGTAGAGATCCTGGTCATGGAAAGGTGCCAAAATGTTTTGAATGGAAGAACAAGTTAGAGTGAGGCCACAGTTCCCACCACACTAGGGCTTTTGTATTGCTCTACTCTTTCAGCCCTTTACTTTCTGGCTGAAGCATCCCCTTGGAGTGCCATGTATAAGTTGGGCTATTAGAGTTCATGGAACATAGAACAACCGTGAATGAGTGGCATGATCAGTGCTTAATGATCAAGTATTACCTATCTAATAATCCTCTAGAAAGAACCCTGTTAGATCTTGGTTTGTGATAAAAATATCAAGACAGAAGACATGAGGAAATGAGGCATATGACTTTGTACTTACATCAGATATTTTCTGTAATATCCTACTTCCTTGGTTTTCCCAGCTCCATACCACACACCTAAACCTGTGTTATGAATTACATATTACAAAGTCATAAATGTGCCATATGGATATATAGTCTATTCTAGTTGGAATCGTTTAGTCTGCTAGAATTTAGTTGTGAGACTTTTTTTGTTTCCCAGTATAGCAGTCTTCTGTGTGGTGGCATTAAATTGATTTCTTTAAAATGCTTTGGTGGCATTTTTGTAAATGGATTGCTTCTAGATTGTTACAAACCAAGCCTAAGACACATCTGTGAATACTTAGATTTGTAGATTAATTGCATTCTAGATTTGTGAGTTGAATGACAAAGGAGTTGAACAAAAATTATGGCGTTTAAGAATTTAACATATCTTAGCTGTAAAAATGAGAAAGTGTTGGTTGGTTTTAAAATCTGGTAACTCCTTGATGAAAAGAAATTTATTTTATACGTGTTATGTCTCTAATAAAGTATTCATTTGATAATCTTTGTGGTCATCTATTACACCATTCACTTTGAAATTCAGTTAAAGGTTTGATATAAACTTGACAGAGCTTCTAGACTTATAATGTATAAAAAGTTGTGTTTTAAACATTTCTGTGTAAAAGTCTCTCAGGAATTGTCTTTTTTCTTTGATGAAGGTGAAAGAGGTAAGTCTTTGGAAGTAACGTTGCATAGGAAGTTTAAATGAGAATTCTGTTTTGCCGAGTGTGATGACTTATGTCTATATTCCCAAAACTTTGGGAAGCCGAGGCCGGAGGATCCCTTGACACTAGGAATTCAGGACCAACCTGGGCAATACACTGAGACTTCATCTCTACAAAAAAATTAAAAAATTAGCTGGGTGCATGGTGGCACATGCCTCTCGTCCCAGCTACTTGGGAAACTGAGGTGGGAGGATGGCTTTAGCCCAGGAGGTTGAGGCTCCAGCCTGGGTAACAGAGTGAGACCCTGTCTCATAAATAAATAAATAAATAAACAAAAAAACAAACAAACAAACGAAACTATCCATGCTAAAAAGAGAGAATTCTGTTTTACTTAAAAAGCATTTGTACCATGTTTTATATGTTTCAAGCATTTTGTCAAATGTTACTTCATTTATTCCTCATCATAACAACCCTATGGGGTGTATACTCATCCCATTTTAAAGGCTTGGAGACTAAAACACAAGTTTTACATCCGTATCCAAAAATGTGATCTTTTCTTCACCCAAAGAAGTTTTAGCAGAATGTTCAACAACATAACTATTTATGGTAAATGTCACATCTTATATCATTTTTCTCATAACAAAGGACTCATGATTTTAGCTGTAAGAATTTAAGCCAAACTTGCATGAGGGAGAAGAGGTTAGGCCACTTGCATCTAGAACGGTCCCTGAGTGCTTGACTACCTGAGTGTTTTTCCACTTTGTCAATTCTGGCATGAACTATGGGGGCTTCGGTCTGCTGTATTACCTTACATTGACTCAGCCTTTTCCCAAATTATCCAGGCTTCCAGGGATGCCTGGAACTGACTTCAGAAGGATTTTCCAGTCTGAGAGGTGCCATTTGATCTTGAGCATGGACTATGAATTTCCACCTCTGAATACTCCAGAAACTGGAATTCTGGATCATTATCATGAAGGTTCTATCATTAACAATATGCCTCAAGTTTAATTGATGAATCAGTGTCTTAGGTGGCAGCTTATTCATCAGGCAGGGGTCCAGAGTTTGGGGACAGCAATGATGCTTAACCCATTTATGCCTAGTGTTCTATTACTGGAACACTAAGTTTGTGGAAGTTACTTATATCCTACTGCTCAAGGTCATTGTCAAGGTCTGATTTTTCACAAAAAACATTTGCAACCTCCGGCATAAATTAGTTATGTTTAGTGTTTTGAATGTCCAACTTTGTGATAAAAAAGGATGTTAGTTACACCTTTATTGGGCTGTGCCCCTAGCAAAAGGACAATCCTAGTTCCTCTCTCTGGAGCACTCTTTTCCCAAGTTACTACTGAGCTGGCTTTCTCACCCTCTTTGGGTCTTTGCTTAGTCATCACCTTTACAGTGAGGTCCTACCTCAGAACCACATTTAATCTTGAATCTCACAAGAGCACTCCCTGTTCTCCTTTTCTACATTTATATTTTGTATAGTGTATATGAATATACAATTAATTTATATTTGTCTTCTTTTCTACATTTTTGGATAGTGCATATACACTATACAAAATATCTTCCTTCAGTGTCCAAGCCAATGAGCTGAGGCCATTCGTTCTGGGCAGTCCACAGGCAATGACTGCACATGGTGTTGGTATAAGGGCTCATCGTTTCTAGCTAGTGTGAGACTCCTCTATGGACAATCTTTGTGCTGGAGCTCACTGCTAAATTGGTTGAGACTTTCTCAGAATGAGCACAGTCTGAGGCTCTTCCTACCTAAGGCTTTTAGGCTCTCACTTCTCCTTTCATAAGAGTCAAACCTGCATCAGGGGCAGAAAGATATATTTTGTATAGTGTATACTATATTTTGTATAGTGTATATGCATATAGCATTAATTTATATTTGTTGTCTTCTTCACTAGAATGTAAGGTTTGTGTTTTGTTAATTTTAGACAGCAGGTTTTAAGAGTTGTCTCCATTTTTGAGCATACATACTTTATACATGTGGAATATCTGAACTGGTGTCCACCTATTTTAAGTAGTTGGTTGGTTCAAAAGTAATTGTGGTTTTTGCTGTTGAATGTAATGGCAAAAGCTGCAATTCCTTTTGCACCAACCTATTAGTAAAAGTTTAATTTTGTGCTCATAAAATAGAGTTAAAATATTTCCTTTGTCACTCTGTAATTATCTTGCACATTTAAGTGCACATACTCCATTTTAGAGACAATATGAATAGAATATTGGCTTGGAGGGCATAAAACTGGACTGTCTCCTTTGCTGTTTGATGGAAGTGTCTATGTTAGACACTAAGATGAAGTGTCTAACAGAGGCTGGCAACCGTAAGCATTGAAATTGGTTTCTCAGTAAGATGATAGGTATTCCATGTCTTCAGAATGACTACGTTGACTAAATCTCAAAGATTAACTCTTGGCCAAATATGGTTTCATAGAACAAATAAATTCTCCACAAAAAAATATGATATTATGTACTTTTCCAATGTGGGATAACTAAGTTAGCCAGACTTAGTCTTGGTTTTTATTTTAAATTTAATAGTTATACTTTCAATGTGAATTAGGGAATTATAACTTGCACATCAATTGCATGATTTCATGGATATTATTCAGTATGAGAAAAAATATTGTGAAAAAATAGTCCATTTAACATTTGTGGGACCTGAGGTGAGCCACTTAATTTATTCAAGCCTAAGTTATCTACCAGCGATGATGATGCAAGTCTGGGAGAGGAAGTCCTTTGGAAAGAAGAAGCCAAGATGCAGTTCAAAGTACAAGATGTTTGTTGGAGAAAATGCCTATAAAGGATAAAGAGGAGAGAGAGCACAAGTAGGAAAAATAATCTTTCTGCCCCTGATGCAGGTTTGACTCTTATGAAAGGAGAAGTGAGAGCCTAAAAGCCTTAGGTAGGAAGAGCCTCAGACTGTGCTCATTCTGAGAAAGTCTCAACCAATTTAGCAGTGAGCTCCAGCACAAAGATTGCCCATAGAGGAGTCTCACACTAGCTAGAAACGATGAGCCCTTATACCAACACCATGTGCAGTCATTGCCTGTGGACTGCCCAGAACAAATGGCCTCAGCTCATTGGCTTGGACACTGAAGGAAGATCCTGAGGGCATCTGCAACTGGTGCTGTCAGATAACTGCACTCCCTGTGGATGGTTATCTTTTGGAGATCTAAATAGCACACTTCATAACTGCCACTTTTCACCCCTTGTACCAAATCAATCCACTTCTCCATGCATATCCTGGGAGCCACTCCTCAGTGGGCCTCTCATCCTGAGGGGAAAACTTTTAGAAAAGGAAGGTTAGTGGGTCAAACTCAGCCACATCACTGCGGTTGGTCTTGGGGCCACAACTGGTATTTATCTCTCTCTCCAACCATCCATTCTGAATTCTCTTAGCAGCTATCACCTACCTTTGCAGGTCTGGGTGAGTTATCTGGTGGTGTGACCCACACCCTCATTCTTGAAGGGTCTGAATCCAAGACAACAATAACTTTTTCAGGAGGGGGGTCACTGTACTTGTCCATCCACAGTCATAATTGGGTAAGGAATTACCACAAAGGTACCCATGTGGATCACCTGAGTTTCATACATATTCCTCCCTATTTCTATTGTGGAATAACAGCCCTACATACCTTTTTATCAGGATCAATCACCCCTGCAAAGAGGGCAACTCCTTCCTGCTCGCTTGGTGCTTAAAGACTCCAAAATGACTCAACAGCAGCCACAGCTTGTAGTTCAATAAAATCCTTGCTGTCCTAGAAAAGAATAAGCAGATCAGAATGGTAACCAAGCAGAACCCCAAATTGTAAGGATGGGAAGCACAAAGTCCATAATGAGTCATTGGGAGTGATGGTAAATGAGGCCACTCCTGTTTTCATCTCTTTTCCTGGGCCGATTAGTTTTTCCTTTTGGGAACACAATACTCTATAGAAGTCTCAAATTCAATGTGCATGTGGCATTCAGGAAAATGGCACCCCACTGTCATGGGTATTGCCTCTGTGCTGGTGCTTCAAATGTGCTTTCAGCAGGCTATTCCAACACTATCGGGCTGGTTGATCCTGGATCATGCATTATGTGATGTGGTCAATGACCGCAGTCATGGGGCTATCTCCCTGGTTAGATGCTAAGTTGAGTGTGATTTCATGCTTCTGGAGCAAGCACTCCATAAGCCCACTGCACATGACTGTATATATTCTCACCTCGGAGCACTTTTATTCCACAAAAGTTTCATCAGATAAACTCAGAAAACATAGGGGTAAATCCCAGTGACCTTGGATTTGACCATGGATTCTCAGGTATGACACTAAAAGCATAAGCAATCGAAGAAAAAACAGATAAATTGATCTTCATCAAAATTTTAAACTATTTTTACATCGAAGGATACTGCAAAGAAAGTAAAAACTTACACAATGGGAAAAATTTGCAAATACGTCTGATAAGGGTCCAGTATCCAGAATACATAAAGAATTCTTACCACAAAAAACAATTCAATTTAAAAATTGGCAAAACACTTGAATGGACATTTCTCCAAAAAAGATATACAAACAGCCAAAAAGCACATGAATAGATGCTCAGCAACATTAGCTATCAGGAAAATGCAAATTAAATCAATAATTACCACTTCACCACCCACTAAGATGGTTAGCTATAACTTTTTAAAGAAAAAAAGTCGGAAGCCTTGTACATTGCTCGTAAGAATGTAAGATGGTGCAGCTGCTGTGGAAAATAATTTGACAGTTCCTCCAAATATTTTGGGGGGCAAACAATAGAATTATATGACCCAGTAATTCCACTCCTAGGTATGTATTCCAAAGAATTTAAAACAGTTACTCAAGCAAATAAAGCAAATACTATACAAAAATGGCTATTCACAACAGCTGAAAGGAGGAAACAATCCAAATCCCATCAATGGACGAATGGATGAACAGATGTGGTATATCCATAACATGGGATATTATTCAGCCATAAAAAATGAAGCACTGATACATACGACAACATAGGTGAACCTAGAAAACATTATTGCTCAGTGAAACGACGCACCAAAGAGGTCAAACATTGAATGATTTTATTTATGTGAAATATACAGAATCAATAAATCTATATAGACAGCAAGCAGATCAGTAATTGCCAGGGGCTGGAAGGAGGAGGAATTGAAGAGTGACTGCTTAATGGATATTGAATTTCCTTTCAGAGTGATGAAACTATTTAAGATGTAGGCAGAAGTGATGGTTGCACAACATTGTAAATGTACTAAATGCTACTGAATTGTACACTTTAAAATGGTTAATTTTATATGTGAATTTCACTTCAATTTTTAAAAAGCTCCAAAAAAACAAAGGGAGGTGATGATTAAGCTCCACTTATTTTTAAGATATGTTGCTCACCACTTTCTTCACAACCACTCCTGGATATGACTCTAATGGAGCTATCATGCAGTTTCAGCTTGTACCCACATAAGGAAGCCCCCATAAGAGGCAAAGGTGTAAGTTATAGGGAGAGGTGATGGCTAACAAGCAAGTCTGAGCTAACTGCTCATGCAGCTTACTCATGCCTTCCACCAGAAAAGTAATGTCTCTACTTATAATAAACTACTGTGCTCACTCAAATTTATGACTTCATTGTAGCCCAACAAAACCTAACTCAATTGGGCAGCTCTGGGTGGCTGGTCACTTGGTATCCCATGGTCCAGTGTTCTATCTCTACCAGGGCCCAATGGCGTGTAGAAACTATTCCCAAGAGGCATTTAATTCTCCACTTCAAATGGCATGACCTTGCTGCAGAACCCACAATTTAGGGCCTAAATTATGATTCTATTTTTACACACACCTCCACCTGAATTCATATGTTGAAGCCCTATTTCCAACGTAACTGTATTTGGAGACAGGATCTTTAGAAGATAAAGTTAAAAGATTTTATAAAGGTTGGGCCTTAATCCATAGGACTGGTGGACCCATTAGAAAAGCAACTCTCTCTGACTCTGTCATGTGAGGACAGAGCAAGAGGATGGCCATCTGCAAGCCGGGAAGAGGCCCTTAATAGGAACTGACTCTGCCAGAAATGGATATGGGACTTCTAGCCTCCAGAACTTTGAGGAAATAAATTTCTGTTATTTAAGCCACCCAGTTCTGTGGCATTTTGTTATGGTAAACTGAAGTTACCAAGACAAGCTGCTATGTCACAGCCTGGATCTGCTGCACAGCTCTTTCCTGTTCCAGACACCACACAAAGATGATTCCCTTTTATGTCAAACCATGTATGAGCCAAAGGGATATTCCTATGAAACATATTGCCTTAGAAAACCCAGGGAGACCTGCAAACCATGGTACTTCCATTTTGGAATTAAGAAAGCAAAATGCAGCCATTTACCTTTTTCTTTGGAGGGGAGGTCCCAACATGCCCCTGACAAGTAGATGTCTAAAATTTTTACAGAAAGAGCAGGTGCTTGAATCTTCAGAGGGTTCATCGTACGCCCTCTGGAGTGTACGTTTTACCAAGCTCTTCATTCTGCCCTTGCTCATCCTAATGTTATTGATGTAATGAACCAATATCATGTTTTACAGTTATATCCAGGTGGTCTTCAGATTATGACACACAACAGGAGAATTATGCCAGTCCCAGTACAAATCTGTCAACGTGCAGGGGAACACTCTGGCCAATGCGATGATTCAGGTCTTTGTAAGTACAGAGGGAACAATACTTGAAAGTACAGAGGGAACAATATGTTTAGTGCTGTCTGATCCATGTAGTAAACTGTTTCTGATGCTCTTTTCTCACTAAGATAGAACAAATTCCTTCACCATACCATAATATGATATTATGTACTTTTCCAATGTGGGATAACTAAGTTGCCCAGACTTAGTCTTCTTTGTTTTTTATTTTAAATTTAATAGTTATACTTTCAATGTGAATTAGGGAATTATAACATACCTCATCTGGCATTGCAGCTGTAGTCAGAATCACCAGTTGGTTGAGCTTGTGGTATTCTATCTATGATCAATCTCCAGGATGCTTCTGATTCCTGCAAAGGCCATACTGTTGAATTAAACAGAGATATATTAAAGACAAACTTCCCTGCATCATTAATATCCTTAGTGATGGCACCATTCTCTGTCAACCCCCTTCCCATGAAATGTAATACTGTTTATTTTATTTAGTACATTGGCTGAGGGGCTGCACAGTTTCAGAAACTTTTACTTGGGCTTCCCCAATATGATAGTTCTTAATATACAGACTAGCAATTCAATACAAGGTTTATACCAATTGCCAATTATGGTAAACCCAATTATACATTTAGGGACCAGGGAAATGACCAAAGCTTAGTTTACAAACTCAGTAAGTTTATCATAAGATGAACTTTGACCAGGGTTCTATTTATTGACTTTCTACCCAATCTAACAGTGAAATGATATTGATGTTTTGGGCCTTCAAATATGAATGTCAACTCAGTCCCTGTGTCCAAAACCTTCTAAATGTCTTATAATTCCCCTTGACCCAATATCAATCACTCGAGTAAGTTGTCATACATCTCTTTGGGAAAAGACCAAGGGAATCATCATAGTATGCAATTGCCCTGGTGTTGCAGGGTTCCTTTTTGTGGAAAACCACCGACCTCGTCAGTCAATAGCTTAAAACTGGTTCAGATTTGTGAACTGACCAAGAAAATGTGAGCCCTTGCCAAAAGTTTCCTGCTCATCTCTTCTTGCCTCTTTTATTGTGTATAATAAGCAGTACCCTCATTCACTGTCCATTTGTTCTTGCCCCTAAGAATGCCATGTTCTAGTAAACATCTGCATGAATCCCCGTGGGCCAAGGCTCTACGACTACCTCTCCCAGAATGTGCAACCCCCTGGAAGTGGGTGGTTAAGCCTCACCATCTAGACTCTTATTTTGGGGTCTTATCGTCTTCATTATTGATGAGTCAGGCTCTGTTAATATCTTTTATACCATCAGTCGTGGTCTTTGGAAGGGATCCGTCACTGATATTAGGATGCTCTTCTTGATTCCTCTCACCAGAGCCTTCCTGAGAGTATTGGTAGGTTATGTGTCCTCTATCACTTCCTATAAAATAAAATCTTTTAGAAAGTATTGTTCCTTCACATAATATCTTATCCCAACATGCCAACTTTGCTGAGTTTTCCAATGCCTTCCTGCACTGTATTCTTTTGTAATCCAGTTACCTCAACCTCTGGGATTAAAGAATTCTTTCTTATCTAGTCCTATGTTCTGCTTTGCTTGACCAAGCATCCTTAAAATCCAATCTCACTGGTACTCCCCTGGCTCCTACTAATACATGCTAGTTAACTTTTGCAACTGCTTTGGGTATAATCTCCTTAGACTTTAACATACCCTGCATGAATTCAGCTGGGATATCTGAGGATTAACTGTAGTTATCAGCCTGGCAGCCAGGAGAACATCGGGGACATATCCTGAGGAGAGCCTTCTGCTGCCTCCTGGGGGAGAGGCCTGTGTGTGGGGAAAGTGCTAGCAATTAATAGGGAGGTATTATGGGAGGGAGCAGTGGCACCTCTGCAGCTCTAAATGTTCAGGGGATGCTGGAGAGTCTCAATATTTGAGGGTATTCATTCAAATGTCCCATCTCATGTTTTCCTAGGCTTTCCCTGCTAGGGTGCTGAATTTAGCATTACATATTTGCCTTGGCAGAGCATTCTACTATCTTTGAAGTTCAATAAACCTGCCAGATCTTGAGTGTGCTCTTTAGCTGTGTTGCTCTTTGGCTGCAAAAGATAGGTCCTCTTTATAAACTACAAAATAAGCCCCCTGGCTATTATATTTAGCTTGCACTATTTGTTAAGGACCTCCATTGCTCATTATCCTTCTGTAGGGCATCAGTATAGCCAATCACTAGATTTTGTTGTTTGTTTGTAATTTAATGTATTGTTCCCTCCATACTTTCAAAGGCCTGAATCATCACACTGGCCAGAGTGTTCCCTTCCATGTTGACATTCCCCTGTAGAGCGGAATTAGGATGATTATATTTACCATTAAGGTGTTTGGGCTTTTTATCAGTTCCACTGACTGTTACTATAAAACTTAATATAAATGTATAAATGTTCTTGCCATTAACCTGCAAGAATACTATTTTACTTGACGTAGAGTATCATTGCAAAGTTTACCAAGCTTCCAATAACTACTCGTAGTATTTTTTTAGTCCAAAGGGATTTCAGATTTGGTTTCCAAATATAGAAAAAGGAATCCAAATGACTTGTTAAAACAAAGTCAAGGAATAATGTAAGAGATTCCCACAAACTAGCATGAGTCTCCTTCAGACAAGTGCACACTATCTGGAATCATTTAGTCCTAAATTTACTTGTGGTATTTGTTCATATTTTAATAACACTCTTGTCTGGATAAAATATAAAAGTGCTCCTCCTTTTCTTTTTTTTTTAACCTCTTCCACTTTTGAATCTATTGGTCATTTCAGGTAAATCAAACATAGATATTTAAATTGTTAAACTATGTCATGTGTGGTAATTTGGGGGAGTGCAAATAAATAGTATTGAGCGTACTTGCTCATTTTTAAAAAGCTGAGTACTTTCGTCATTGTTAATCCATTTTACATTACTCTAAAGAAGTATCTGGTGAATTTATAATGAAAAGAGGTTTATTTGGCTCATGGTTCTGCAGACTGTACAAGAAGCATGGTGCCAGCATCTACTTCTGGTGAGGGCCTCAGGAAGCTTGCAATCGTGGTGGAAGGCAAATGCAAAGCAGATGTATCACATGACAAAAGAGGGAGCAAATGAGAGAGGAGAAGGTGCCAATCTTTTTAAACAACCAGCTTTAATAGTGACTCATAGAGGAAGAACTCACCACCAAGGGGATGGCACCAAGCCATCAGGAGGGATCCACCCCCCAGACTTAAACACCTCCCACCAGGCCCCACCTCTAACAGTGGGGATCACATTTCAATATGAGATTTGGAGGGGACACACATCCAAACCATATCAGTCATTTGTTTTGCACTACACATTTTTTCTCATTTGTGTATAATGGAAAAAGTAGGAGACTTATTTAAGAGATCTTTCATTCATCCACATAATTCAGCAAATAGTTATTGAACTCCTATGTCTACTATGTGTTCTATATGCTCCAGAGACAGAGAGTGAAGAAAATTATGTCCCTGTCTTCATAGGGCTTCCATTTTGGTGTAAGGAGAGAGGTAAGACATAATTGCAAAGTACATACATGAAGTATTAGATACTCATGAGTGCTAAGGAAAAAAGCAAAGTAAGGTAAAGAGTGTGGACATGCCAGGGAAGGGGGAATTGCAATTTTAAATAAGGTAGAAAAGGAAAGCCTAACTTGGAAGCAATGAGCAGAATTCTGAAGTTGAGGGAGGGAGGGAGTCATGTAGGTGTCTAGGAGAAGGAAGAATCCTTTAGAAGGACTGACTTGAGACCATGGTAATGTGATCAAGTTCGGCAAAGAAGGTAGTGTATCTAGAAAGAAGTGAGTAGGAGGAATGGCGTGAGATGAGGCAGGAAGCTATGCTATTGGATGCAGCTCACATAAAACCTTGACATCAGATGATAAGACCCTACATTTTTCTGAGATATGTGGGAAGACATTTCAGAGTTTTGAACAGAGGTGTGGTATAATCTGACATGTTTTAACAGGACAGTGCTGGCTGCTGGCTTGAGAATAGATGGTAGGAAAACAAAAGGAGGAACAGGGACACTCATGAAGAGGCTACTGAAATAGACCAGGAGAGAGATGATGATGGGCTAGACCTCAGTGTCAGCAGTGGAGGTGGTGATAAGTGCTTAGAGTGTAGATATGTTGTGAAGGTAAAGCTAATTGAATGCACAGATAGATTGAGTATGGAGTGTGAGCAAAAGAGAGAAAACAAGATTAAGACCAAGGATGAAGTTGCCATTTACTGCTTTATAAGAGACTATGGAAGGAGGTGTGTGCAGGCAAAGGTGACCTCATCTTGGATACTAATCTACCATGTTGACATGTGAGTTGTCCCAGTTCTGGAAATGCCTGATTACTACTTTATTTACTGTCCTTAGTATTCTCCATAAATTCTATCCTAGATCAAAACAAACTTGATGTTATCACATAAACTGTAGGCTATGATTCACGTAGCATTCTTGCCTCTTCTGGAAGGTTGTCTTGAAGTGTCTCTACTGAGCATGTACACCCTTTCTCTATAGTACACAGCCCTAGGTCTGGGGAGTCATGATGTGGAGGTCTACCTGTCTTACTGCTGTCCAAGAGTATGCCTCTGTTCATAACATCTCCAGTAAATCATCCTCTACTGACAAACAGGATTTGTCTGTCTTGTTCTTTGATTTCTCAGCTCCTTCTGCATTTGGGGGTCACTTTGCACATAGAGAACATGTTTTGGAGGGGAATCAGGAGTTAAGTTTTGAACATTGCATTTGTTTTTTTAGGGTTGCCTTAACAGAACACCACAATCTGGTACCTTATGACAACAGAAATATTTTCTCACAGTTCTAGAGGGCAGAAGTCTAAAATCAAGGTGTCAACAGGATCTTGCTCCCTCTGAGACTCTTATAGAACCCTCTCTCACCTCTTAGCTTCTGGGGGTGACTTGCAATCCTTGGCATTTCTTGGCCTGCAGCTGCATCACTCCAATCTCTGCCTAAATTGTCACCTGGCATTCTCTCTGCATGTCTCTGTCTCTT